GGGTCAGCATCCCGGGAAGGTAACTGCCTTGGTTGAAGGCTTTGAAGGCTCTCAAGCAACAAAGGACTAAAGCCTTCTGACAAGGGAGGGCTGCTTTCATGGACAGGGATATTCAAAGCACTTTAGAGACTGAGGCTGTTGGAGTCATCCAAATCTACCCAGATGTCCCCATTCCACTTCTTTAGATCTCATCGTTTCACAATCAATGCTGCAACTTTCACACCAGAAACTGAAGCTGTGAGTGTAAATTGCAGTGGCAGAGCCCAGGGGGGCGAGCTTTGGGTCTTGTTTCAATGCATTTCTTGTCTGCCGCTATGAGACATGAGAGTCTCAGGATGGTCCTAGGAGCCTTCTGTCACTTTATCTTTACCCTGAGTCAGGAGTTTAAAACACGAGCTAATTTTCTCTACACCAGGTCTGCAGTACAGTCAGCAGCAGCTTTCCAGTCCAGGTCATAGAGCCCCCTCCACCCCCGGGCAGTGTGGTGCAGCTGCCACTGGGCCCACCGAAGGCTTGGCTTCCATGGCCCCCCTATCCAGGTGGCTGTAGGCATACTCAGCCACCTGCTACAGGGAAAGCAGGATCCCATTTCTGACTGGTCATGAAGTTATCACTGCCCGTAAACTTAACTAAGTCAGATAACCAGTCCTCAATTATTTTTAAAAGTTGGTTTGTCAAATTTTGGTGCTCAATGCTAAGAAAGGCAAGGTTCACTGCCTGAAATAGGGATTACTCCAAGTATTTCAAACAGTGAAATCTTTAATCCAAAGGATTAGATGCTTACAAAATTATTGGTAACTTAGAGGAATTAAAAGAAACTCCCCTTAAGTCTTTTTTTTTTTTGAGACAGAGTCTCACTCTCTTGCCCCAGGCTAGAGTGCTGTGGCCTCAGCCGACCTCACAGCAACCTCAGACTGTTGGGCTCAAGTGATCCTTCTACCTCAGACTCCTGCGTAGCTGGAACTACAGGCACCCTCCACAACACCCGGCTGACTTTTCTATTTTTAGTAGAGACTAGGTATCTCTCTTGCTCAAGCTGGTCTCAAGCTCGAGGGATCCTCCCGTGTTGGCCTCCCAGAGTGCTAGGATCACAGGCGTGAGCTTAGTCGTTGACTTCAAATTGACTTCAAATTCATACAATTGCATCTGGCGTAACTGTTCTCCCTGTTACCACTGCACACACTCACAGAATTGGTGCCAAGATGGTGGAATGTGCAGTCCAGCTGTGGCCAATGCTTCTGTCTGCCGAGGCCCATCTGCATTGCAGAACTGCCCTGCTACAGAAAGCTGGCAACCACCTCTTCGACCTTCCCCAACTTCATATGCTGAGCGACTCACATCCACAAAACACAAGTTTGCAAAGAAATCGCAAGGTCACACAGGAATCTGAGAAATGTAATTTTTAGTTCTCTATAATACGGAAGGAGGGAAAGACAGACCATTTCAAAGAAACAGGAAGAGACCTGTTGTGCCGTCAGCATCCAGCACACTGACCTCACAATGTGCTGGGTTTCTTAGTGGTGAATATCGAAGGCAGACTCTAGGTTGTAAACTCCAAGTCTCAATAGTAAATACATAAATAGTAATAGTGCAAATCAGGAATTTGTCCCCAAATTCATCTGGCTGCTTTTTTGCCTCACAAGTTCCTCCATGCTTTTATTTCCGAAGCAAAGATTAGATCCACTTTCACAAGGGCTGGCAATAATAATTCAAGTATAATGAAAACAATTATTGCATACAGCTTTGAAGTTTTACAGTTTTTCTTTTGTGATCAGATGTTTATTAAATGTTCACTGAGCTCTGAAATCAGAATATATTTGAAATCCAAGTGTATTAAGTACAGCTGATAAACTCTAACCATTTATAAAAATGTATGTCATTAATCCCCAGATTTATTAATTAGAACTCAAGCAACACTCAAAGGTGAGGTAAGTTTGTTGCTAATGTAATATGGCCCTATCATGCAGGATTCATAATCTACCCACCCTCTCATTGCCAAATAGCCAGGGAGTCACTATTCTAGAAGGACTGGTTCTGGGGATGGCTTCCTCACAGGGCGGAGAAACTAAATATAATGCATTATGGATGACAAAGAGGATATTACAACCGATGCTTTCCTTTTTCTACATTTCAAATTCAAAGAAAAAAATTTAACTGAGAAAAGAATCAATCTAACTGGCCTTTCTAAAATTGCAGAAAAGGGAATCAGGGAGATCTGGAGACTGACAGAGTCTGTGGACTTTGTATATGGATTGATGAAATACTCATTCTGTATAATTCACAGTCATGTATTTAAATTGGGAAATAAATAATAATTCCAAGACTTCATGTTTTTAGAAATGGCTGTATTATTTAAATCTTTAATGATTTTTTAGGCTTTAAAAAAATTGAACATAATTTTCTGTGTAGACATTCACATACAAGTGACCTCCCGATAGCTGGATGGTTATAATTAGATGGAGAGATATGAGTGATGTGTTTCAGCATGCACTTAATCTCAAAGGAGATAATACTCACCAACACCTTCTCTGGGAAAACTTCATGTGTAAGAATGGGGGAAAAGGCTGAGTGTGGTGGCTCATGCCTGTAGTCCTAGCATTTTAGGAGGCAGAGGCTGGAAGGTCACTTGAGTACAGCTCAAGACCTGCCTGAGAGCAAGACCCCTGTTTCTATTAAAAATAGAAAAATTAGCTGGAGTTGTAATGGGCCCCTGTAGTCCCAGCTACTTGGGAGGTTGAGGCAGGAGGAGCAATTGAACCCAGGAGTTTGAGGTTGCTCTGAGCTAGGCTGATGCCATGACACTCTGGGGGCGGGGGAGGGGGCAGCAGAGTGAGACTGTTGTCAGAAAAAAAGAAAAAAACCCAATACATCTGAGTTTCTATTTAAGAACAGATGGGTCCCCAGGGAAGAAAGTATGAAGAGAAAGTGATAATGAGCGGCTGTGTAAACACATGTTTATGTGGTAAGATGAAAAACAGATAGGAAAAAAAACCTCAATTATACTTATGGAGATAGGAGATAGAAAACCTGCATGCATAAATCTGAACAGGGTGACTCACATCATCCCTTGCCCACCTAAAAGTCCTGTTACTTAGTCCTCTAATGACAGCTTAGTCCACCTTCTTGGTAAGTCACAAGGCTCATTCAGTGATACATTCTAAAATCTCACAATCCTCGTGTGGTAATGGTTCTATGTGTATACATCAGTTATTTTAAATTTTGGCCTTTGAATCTCCTTCAAGGCTTCCTATTCAAAACACATATTTTTTTTAAAAAAGTTACAACTTTCCAGGCAGTGCCTGTGGCTCAGCAGGTAGGGCGCTGGCCCCATACACTGAGGGTGGTTGGTTCGAACCCAGCCCCAGCCAACTAAAACAACAGTGGCAACAGCAACAAAAAATAGCCGGGCATTGTGGCAGGTACCTGTAGTCCCAGCTACTCAGGAGGCTGAGGCCAGAGAATCACTTAAGCCCAAAAGAGTTGGAGGTTGCTGTGAGCTGTGACACCATGGCACTCTACCGAGGGCAACAGAGTGAGACTCTGTCTCAATAAATAAATAAATAAATGTTATGACTTTCCTCTATAATTTATTAGGAAAACCAACTTCTAAAACTTACATGATTTGCAGTGTTTTGAAGGAATGTTTCTACTTCACATCCTTTTCACAACTAGCCTTGTCATTCAGAAATTAGCAGTCCAGAATACCAAGCACGCGTTCTAAAATACACCCCTACTAAGGACCTGCTTCCCAAGGTCACTGGCCAGACCCAGCTGCTCCCGTGCTGAGGAGCAGGTGGCTGGCTTCGGCAGGTTTGATGGCTACTGCTGAGACGCTGTTCCCACTCAACTGCGTCACCCGCACACAGTGTGCCTCACAGCGCCTCCCGGCTCTGCTGCCCCGTCTACCATGCAGCCGGACGCCTGGTTGCGCCACCTATGTCCTGATAACTGCAGCTGCCCTTCCCCGTCAGGGCAGTGCCAAGCCCCACAGCTGGGGGAGGTTAAGGACGCAGCAAGGAAGCTGGCAGTGTGAGCAGTACGGGGGTGTTTTAATGAGGGGGAGATTCAAAAGCTGTGCCCCAGGAGACAATATATAGTGTCTCAGTTGTTTTCTTATCAAATAGATAGTACAGCAAAAAAAAAAAGTCACGTCTACATTGGGTTTTTTCTCATTTGTAGCATAACTGAGCTACATATATGAAACAAACTTGTGAATTAAAATATTCCTAATAAGCTAGAAAGACTCCTAGATTCCATGTTCTAAGATACAAACGTAATAATCTGCATTAAAATATTTCTGAATACCTAGGAAGTGTGTGGAATGAAAGAGAGAAAAACAGAGAATGAATTAATAATGTTAAAACTGAAACGAAGCATCCGTCAGTGTCTGTCAGCAAAACAGACTCGAGTGACAGAGTCGAGTGACAGTGTCGAGAAGAGCTGCCATTATTGATTAGATTGAAGGTCTCTTGTCTTAGGTCTTTTGAGTTTTTGCAAATATTGAATATATTCCATTTTTATGTAAAATGTTACTTTATTTAGTAATAAAGTTTTAGCAAAAAGGAGAACCCTTATTTACCGATTTTTAGATACAAGGTATGCAACTTATCTGCAATGATAAAGAAATTATGGGAACTAACAGAAAAAGCTCTATGTATCACATCTTAAAATCATCTTTAATAAACTTATAGAAAGACTGAATGATTTAATATAAAAATACAAGAGCTTTCACATTTATGCAAGAATAATTCAGAAGAACATGGCATATCTTACGTCTGCATGTAAAACTCCCCTAAGGGCAGCTGATTTTTAAAGTAAAAATATGCTACTATAAAAAAAAAAAAAAGCTCTTTGCCAGAAATTATAAACGCTCAAGTTATAGAGTAATTTCTTTTCTACATAAGAAACTGGCAGCATAAAAGAAGTTAGGATATTAACAACTAAATCAACTAAAGATCTAGCACTTTACATTATAATAAAATGATTAACCAAAAAAAATCATTTTTCCCACAGCAGTAGTATATTTATTGTGCTGAAATCAGGTAGCAGGGAATGAGTATCTCTTGGGAACCAGTACAGAATGTTCACAAAGATTTACAAATCTCTAGTCATTACACACTGAGCAGCAGAAACAAAGGTGCTGAATCCTCTCAGACCAAACTACTGTATGTGTTGCAAATTTTCTGTAATTCTCATGACTGCATGCCTTTGGGGAAAAAGTATATCATTTGAGTGCACAATAAATATTTTATAGTTTACAAAATATTCTGGAATAGTTTTCCTGTACAAACAGCATACATCCTACACATGCAGCTTTGACATCTTGTTGAGATACTTAGTAATAGTCATGCTTTTTTTTGTCACATTTTCTCTTTCTATAATGATCCCTGTGTGACATCCCCTCACAAAGTAACCTATGTAATAAAACGTGGTACATGTTCTCCTTCCTACTTTATTTCCAGATGTTCATTTATGTTACATGAAATACTTCATTTGTAAATAGCAAATTTAATTTTTATAGTTCTATTGTCCCTTTTACTCATTTCGTGTTTTAACAATTAACACCTTGTCACACCAAGAACTGAATTTAACAACCTTTAGCACCAAGGAGTCAGAAATATTGCACCAAAGTGGGTTCACACTTTGTATCTAGTTAATAAATAATAAGGTCTTGCAACTTAGTCACAAGGAAAATGTCACTCCAAAATTAAACACATTGAAAGAGGATAGTTTCACAGAAATGTCTGGTGTATGCCATTTGTTTAAAAGAAAACAAACTAGTGGATTTGAAAGCTAATATTAAAATTTACATTAGAGGACTCCTTGATTTTTTCATTAAAATTTATTTAATTTTAATTGTTCTTTCCAACAGAAGAGGTAGGTATTTTTCCACATATGAAAAATCAGTAACAGCCACAAATCAAAACAAGGAAAGCCTGATAAAAATCAACATACTCTCTTCTAACAGCACATAAATGTAACTATCTTATGATGTTACTAATACATGAGTTGTTTCATGTTTCAATCAGACAATAATCTTAATTTTCATAATACATTTCTGCTAGCAATAGGAGTATTCCAAGGCTGCCTTTTCATCACAAAAATTGTTTCCCCACAGTGATTTGTGCCTCAAGTCATGGTGACCTTTGAGTTACCATCCAGGATTTTACTCTAATTCTTTCTTATTTTCACCAACACCATCATCATCAAGCCTCTACGATTCTACAGAGATCAGCAGATTTTAAAAATGTAATTGAAACCAAAATGGTATATTCTGACTAGCGGTGGAGAGATCTGACCATTCTGGTCTGCAAATGAATTCGAATGCACAAATTTAAATGTATCCACATTTCCAGGTTGGGACAAGAAAACAGAAGGTAACTGATTTCCATCAGTAGTAATTAGTAATTCATCAAAAAATCCATAAAGACTATGTTTCTGTGATCATCTAAAATTCAGACTGAAGAATGAGTGAATAAAAGATACATAAAAAAAATCTCGTCCTTCAGACAAGTGGATGTGAACGGGGGGAAAGTCTCCAAAGTCACATAATGATTGCTTTGGTCTGAACAACATCAAGGCTAATTTAAAAAATGCTTAAAATAAAAACTTCATAAATAAAACCTCTGGGTATCGTGTATAACACTTTGCTCAGTCTAAAGGATACCAGTGCGTGGAGCACATTTGCCTTTTCTCCCCACCCTCAAGCCTCCTTTGCCTCTGTTTTCCCTGAAATTTTATGTGACATGGGAGTTTCCTCACCATCAACAACGGTTTAATGCCCAGTTCAATTTACTCTCCTTTTGCTTTTCCATTTTTCTGCTGTTTTTCTGACTTGTTCACACCATTTGCAGAAAAACCATTCACAGCTGTTTTTCCAGTTTTGGATTTCTTTGGCTCTTTGTACGTCCGAACGTAGAAGTTAAGGAAGAGGAATATGAAGCTGATCGCATAGGCGATGAGTGCCCAGTGCATCCACTTGGGGAACGGGCAGTCGGTGTAAAGAGACAGCGCTGTGTGCCCAATGGTGACGTGGAACTGGACCTGGAAGGCAGAGCAACAGCGTGAGAGGCACGTCACCCAGAGAGTGAGGCTCTTAACAGCCACAGAGCCGTGTACATGGCCGTCAGGCCACACTGCAGGACACCTGTCAAAGTCCAGCAGCTCTCCGGCTCCCGCAGCAGGTTCCTGCTAGTCAGGCCCCAGCTCAGGTGGCGTCTCCTCAGCTTCCTAGTGACTTTACTGACCCTCTCCATCCCATTAACCAAAGGGTTTCTGGTTAATGTCTGTTTTTTAAGAAGAATCATAACTATTTGGAATTGTCTGCTGTATTTGTTGATTTCTTTATTGCCTATCTTTCCACCACACGTAACTCTAGAAGGGAGGGCGCTGTCCTGCTCCTGGGTGACCCCTGCGTCCCTGGCACAGTGTCAGGACTTCATGAATATTTGCTGAATACGGTCACGTGATGAGAGGGAGCAGCAGCACTGTCTGTCACGCTGCGGTTCTGCTCCTTTCTTACGTCACACTGATTTCTTTCTACTCAAGCTTAAGTACGTGGGTGCACACACTTTTCAAAATGAACTCATCAGCCAGGCATGGTGGCTCATGAGCATAACCTAGCATTTGGGGAGGCTGGGATGGGAGGATCGCTTGAGGTCAGAGCATAAGACCAGCCTGAGCAGGAACAAGACCCCAACTCTACAGAAAATAGAACACTCAGTCTGGTGTGCTGTGCACGCTTGTACTTCAGTGACTCTGGCAGGAGGATCACCTGAGCCCAGGCTGCAGTGAGCTATGGTAATGCCACTTCACTTTAACTGGGGCTGCACAGTGAGCCCCTGCCTTGAAATAAACAAACAAAGCTATCAGAATGGCTCTTTATTTGTTTCTTACAGATAGCAGACAGTAAGTGTGCACTTGAATGAACACAATCCTTTAAAAACTAATATTTTGATAAAATTCAGTAAATATTTGAGAATAAGTAACAAAAAAATCACTTTCAACTTTAGGTTTTTAAAAAGAGAACAGCTTAAAACTTAAAATGAAAGAATCTTAAATTCTGATGCATCAATAGATGAATGGTTAAAGACGTAATTATGAAAAGAGTCTCAAACTGTCGCCCTAGGTAGAATGCCAGGGCATTATAGATCACAGCAACCTCCAATTCTTGGGCTCAAGTGATCCTCTTGCCTCAGTTTTTCTATTTTTAGTAGGGACTTAGTAGAGATGGGGTGGGGAGGAGCCCAATTTTTCTCAGGCTGGTCTCAAACTCATGAGCTCAAGCAGTCCACCTGCCTCAGCCTCCCAGAGTGTAGGGTTACAGGCATGAGCCATCGCATCCAGCCTGAATTCTATGGTATTAACAAGGGTTAGTTTTTTATACAGTTATCAACTGTTGTGAGAACTTCTGGCTAGAAAACACAAACTTAACATCCTATAATAAATGTGGTTTCTCTTTTAAGGATAGCATTATCCTTAAAATAGTTATTAATTAAGATAACTGATAACTATTTCAAATATTATTAAAATAATTTACTCCATACAAGCCAGAAATTTATACCATGATAGGGCAACATTTATCATTTTCCATGGCAAAGATCCAAGTTTTAAGAACTTTTGGTTTCACAAAGGTTTTAGAACCTGCATCAGTGAAGCAGGGTGTGTACAGGTGTGACAGGCACAGCTTGGCTCAAGGAGGGCCAGGTGTGAGCTCCATAGGACGCACATAACAATTCACATGATTCTGAACCTCTGTCCATTTTCTTGGGCCCACTTAGAACTTACTGAGGGAAATGAATTACACAAAACTATATAAACAGCTTTAACACACAGGCTGGAGGAAGCTTCCAGAATTCTGGTTACAAATGAATCCTTCACCCCCAGCCCTCCCCCAAAGTTGTGTTTCCTGTATGGTTAGCCAGCTGTTTGGCAACTTAAAGCAGAGAGGGATAATATTTCCAAATGTGATTGTACTGATAAAACCATGCACACACTATGATTAATGCAAATTATAAGTAAATTCTAAAGCATGAAGAATAGCTAGCAGGTTGGTTTGAGATTCTTACTTTGATTACAGGCTGGTGCCTGGCGCTGAATTTGCACTCATGCGTGTAGCTAGATGCTACAGGAAGTCTGACCAGCGGTGTATGTGAAAGATTTTCTCTAAAGACTCTGTATAAAACTCGCATTTGAAAATACCCAGCTCAGCTTTCTAAGGAAAGTGTTTCAGAAAATTCTGAGGCATTCTCTGACCCTTATTCCTTTCCTTTACCACACCCCTCCCTTGGTTCCATGCCTGTCCTTCAACTTTATATTCTAAATAGATGGGATATGCCAACAAAGGCTGAAAATGGAATAAAAAAACAGAACATTTGAACAAGGACAGAATGAGAGAGGGAATAAAATTTTAAGTGAAAAAAAATCATCCAAGGGAAAAAAATATTTTTCAAGTCACCCATGAATCTGTGTATCTGGCGTGGTGCTCTGCGACCTCTACCCATCCTTCCCACAGATACTCCACACGCGTGTCCCCTGGAGGGGGCACGGTGTGTCTAGCCTTTTAAGGGTGTTAGAAAGGCCAGGCTGTGAGCAGGCAGGTTAGAGTTTAGCAGCTTCAATGGCGATAACTAGGTGATATGGAAAGTTAACTTGGTAATAAGGAAATTCTCTAAAACCACTTTGCACTTCAAATAAATAAAATTCAAACATTTTCAGCATTTCCCCAGCAGAAACAGCAGCATTCAACTCACCAGCTGCAGCATGGTCAGGTACCGTTTCCACCAGAGATATTTCTGGATCCAGGGGCCGAAGGCCGTCAGCCCGTAGTAGGAGTACATGACCACGTGGATGAAGGAGTTCAGCTGGGCGCCGAAGAACGCTGCAGGGAGCAGAGGCAGTGCTTAGACTCGGGGAGCCCGGAGACAAAAGTGAACGCGTGCACCCGCCTTCTAATATTTACTCTTCAGTACAGATGAGGAATAAAAAATATAAAGTGGTACTAATGAGAGCCTCCCCTTTAGATTAAGTAGATATTAAGGTTAGATTTGAGTTTTTACCATATAAATAAAAATGTGTGCTGTTTAAATGCCAAGGATTTCAAAGTGGTGGTCCAGGGAGTTTGCAAAGGCTCTGATTCACAACTGTTGCCTCTAGTACTTTTAATTCTACTATTTCTTGGGGAGGGGGGCGTGCAAAGGTTATAATGTGTACAATTGTTTTAGCTTTGTAAATGTTTCATTATTGCTTTTAGATGTGCTAATACATATATCTACAACAAAATAGTACTTATTTCTTAGATTTCTAAATAGTTTTAAAGATGATAGCACTAAACACACTGAATGATCCATTTGGTATATAAAAATCTACAGAGATATTCCATTCAGTCTAAATCAATGGCACTCTTTCTCTTTAAAATATCAATTAAATCAAAGTATAAATGTAATAATCATGAGTTTTGCCATAAAATGATTGATTAGTTCAGATGTACTAATTTTCTTTTAAAATTACAGAAACCAATTATTGGTTTCAACTGGCCCCCCAATATTATTTTTTATAAATGTGAATCCCCGAGCTGCTAATTACCATAATATGATAATGGGAAGCAGGGAAGCAGCACAGTGAACTCTGCTGTCACGACCTGCACCCCAGGTCCTCAGCAGAGAAGTGCTCTGTTCTGGCTCAGTGACACCGTCAACCTCAGTCTGCAGGATCTGCAAGGCC